AAGCACGCTGTTCAGAGGTCAATGTCTCAGGCTGCAGGCAAAGCAAGGAAGGGATGGGAAGCACGCTGTTCAGAGGTCAATGTCTCAGGGTGCAGGCAAAGCCAGGAAGGGATGGGAAGCACGCTGTTCAGAGGTCAATGTCTCAGGGTGCAGGCAAAGCCAGGAAGGGATGGGAAGCACCTTGTTCAGAGGTCAATGTCTCAGGCTGCAGGCAAAGCCAGGAAGGGATGGGAAGCACGCTGTTCAGAGGTCAATGTCTCAGGCTGCAGGCAAAGCCAGGAAGGGATGGGAAGCACCTTGTTCAGAGGTCAATGTCTCAGGCTGCAGGCAAAGCCAGGAAGGGATGGGAAGCACCCTGTTCAGAGGTCAATGTCCCAGCCTGCAGGCAAAGCCAGGAAGGGATGGGAAGCATGCTGTTCAGAGGTCAATGTCTCAGGCTGAAGGCAAAGCCAGGAAGGGATTGGAAGCACGCTGTTCAGAGGTCAATGTCTCAGCCTGCAGGCTAAGCCAGGAAGGGATGGGAAGCACCTTGTTCAGAGGTCAATGTCTCAGGGTGCAGGCAAAGCCAGGAAGGGATGGGAAGCACCTTGTTCAGAGGTCAATGTCTCAGGCTGCAGGCAAAGCCAGGAAGGGATGGGAAGCACGCTGTTCAGAGGTCAATGTCTCAGGCTGCAGGCAAAGCCAGGAAGGGATGGGAAGCACCTTGTTCAGAGGTCAATGTCTCAGGCTGCAGGCAAAGCCAGGAAGGGATGGGAAGCACCCTGTTCAGAGGTCAATGTCCCAGTCTGCAGGCAAAGCCAGGAAGGGATGGGAAGCATGCTGTTCAGAGGTCAATGTCTCAGGCTGAAGGCAAAGCCAGGAAGGGATGGGAAGCACGCTGTTCAGAGGTCAATGTCTCAGCCTGCAGGCTAAGCCAGGAAGGGATGGGAAGCACCCTGTTCAGAGGTCAATGTCTCAGGGTGCAGGCAAAGCCAGGAAGGGATGGGAAGCACCTTGTTCAGAGGTCAATGTCTCAGACTGCAGGCAAAGCCAGGAAGGGATGGGAAGCACGCTGTTCAGAGGTCAATGTCTCAGCCTGCAGGCAAAGCCAGGAAGGGATGGGAAGCACGCTGTTCAGAGGTCAATGTCTCAGGGTGCAGGCAAAGCCAGGAAGGGATGGGAAGCACCTTGTTCAGAGGTCAATGTCTCAGGCTGCAGGCAAAGCCAGGAAGGGATGGGAAGCACCCTGTTTAGAGGTCAATGTCTCAGGCTGCAGGCAAAGCCAGGAAGGGATGGGAAGCACGCTGTTCAGAGGTCAATGTCTCAGGCTGCAGGCAAAGCCAGGAAGGGATGGGAAGCACCTTGTTCAGAGGTCAATGTCTCAGGCTGCGGGCAAAGCCAGGAAGGGATGGGAAGCACCTTGTCCAGAAGTCAATGTCTCAGGCTGCAGGCAAAGCCAGAAAGGGATGGGAAGCACCTTGTTCAGAGGTCAATGTCTCAGGCTGCGGGCAAAGCCAGGAAGGGATGGGAAGCACCTTGTTCAGAGGTCAATGTCTCAGGCTGCAGGCAAAGCCAGGAAGGGATGGGAAGCACCTTGTTCAGAGGTCAATGTCTCAGGCTGCGGGCAAAGCCAGGAAGGGATGGGAAGCACCTTGTTCAGAGGTCAATGTCTCAGGCTGCAGGCAAAGCCAGGAAGGGATGGGAAGCACCTTGTTCAGAGGTCAATGTCTCAGGCTGCAGGCAAAGCCAGAAAGGGATGGGAAGCACGCTGTTCAGAGGTCAATGTCTCAGGCTGCAGGCAAAGCCAGGAAGGGATGGGAAGCACCTTGTTCAGAGGTCAATGTCTCAGGCTGCAGGCAAAGCCAGAAAGGGATGGGAAGCACGCTGTTCAGAGGTCAATGTCTCAGGCTGCAGTGTAACCAGGAAGTTGGAGTGGTTACACGTCAGGAGTTGGCAGATTGTTGGCTATCAGTCAGTGACTTTATAACAGATTTAGCAATTCTTCCGCTGCTTGGCAGCCAACTCAGGGAGGTAAGCCAGAAAGTTAAAACACTACCACTGAGAGTGAACTCATGTTCGTTGCAGCATGGGGCACTTAAGCATTGACTGACACAAATCTTAATCTAAAATTCAAGGTTAATTACCTGATTTGTCACGTTTTTGCAACAACATTTTCCTGTTTTTCTTGTAGCAAGCGTACAGTTTCCAAATTAAAAAATTATGACATTCTTACCCTGAACAAAAAGGCAGTTCTAGTGGAGCTGTTGGGTAAAACTACATTACCACAAATATAATGCCATATATGTACCCAACAGTTTATAATAAGACTTTCAGCCAGGTGAGCTAAAGAGGATTTGCCACCATACAATAAGTGTTTGCAGCCAGGAACTGGTTACCACTAGAACCTACAACAAGACATACACGTCGCTGTACTGTATAGATATGTAATCAGTTATAATGTAGCAATGCACAACAAGGTACATGAATGTTCAACCTTGCCATGTGAAGGTGACAGACAGGTGTGACCCAGAACAATCAGAACTCAGCAGAAGGCAGCAGAAAACAGTAGCTACATTTTAATACATGTTGTTTTGTAAGTTGTTTTACACTTCAGTCAGCAGTAATCAAACTTTATCACCAGTTTGTGCCAGTCAAACCAGAGGTTGATATGAAGAACAACATTCCACACCATAAGGGTGTTATACACACAATCAACAGTCACAGACCCAGACCATCTGAAAACCCATTTTAGCTGGCACTTACCACGAAGAGGTGAGGTGAGGTGAGGTGAGGTTAGGTGAGATGAAATTGGCTTTAAAGTCGTGTCCAAGTGTATTGCACTTATATAGCAACGTGCATGTATGTGTATGTCTTTGTGTGTGTGTTTGTGTGGCTGCTTGTACTAGCCCGGACTGATGCCGATTTATAGTGCTAGCTCACTGAGATACCATGCTGGAGTTTTAACATGAATACCCCACTCAGACACAGTATACTGACTCCAGGACGACCAGTCCTTGTTTCAGCCCCTTAATGCCGTGCGCCAGACAGGGTAACAACAAGTACCATCTTTCAACGTCTTATGGTATGACGCGGCCGGGAATCATACCCCTGACCTTCCGCTCTCCGGGCAGACACTCTACCACTAGACCACTAGACCACTAGACCACGGAGAGCTCAAGAGTAAGGGCAGAGTACTGATAGACCTGAGTGACCTTAACTTGTGTTACATCGAGATTCTTCCGGGAATTTGGAAATTACTTGATTCTAATTGGTCAATCAGATGTTGTCAAATCACAGTAAACCTTCTCTGATTGAAACAGCCGATTTGATGGATGTATCACCACGGAAGCTAATATTCAGAGAATAGTACTTTATTCAGTCATTGTTGGTAGGCAGATTTTATAATTATATCTACAATTATAGGTTATAAAATACAAAGTTTCAGTTTCTACAATATTCATGATGTGTGGCAATACATTTCATGCAGAAAACATGATAGAAATCTTCAAAGAGAATGTTTTTAAAGATTTGGGGACAACAGTGAGCTTGGAATTTGGCGCTTCTCTATATACGACTGTGAGGTCATATCTTTCACATCATAATGCGTGATAGGACGTTATGATGGTGACTTGCGGTGTAGAACAAAAGCTTTGCAAGGCTTGCTTGGTTGTTTTTAGGACTGTCCACCTCATGTTAGCTCACCAAGTTGCCATGCTTTTATGCTTTCAATGCCTGTCATGTGTTCAAGTGAAGTTTTACAGTGTAAATGAACTAATTGAGCACGTACAGCAGAATATTTTGTTTAAATGCTGTTGTCGGTGGTTCCATAACTCAGATTGACAACTCACTCAAAACCTCGAGGTCAACCCATGCCACTTCACTCAATATATTTGCTGACAACAAAGAGTTTGTGTTTTATTTAGTCATGGTAGAATGGCGCGAAACATACTGTGTTTTCGCTGTGCGTACGGTTCCAAATTCAAATTAGAGCAGTCATATCTACAGGAAACCTTGCTCTACATTGAAAACACAGTACACTTATCTCCTAATTCCACCCACCAGTAGATCCTTGCATAGCCAAGGGCCACAACTTTGCAGAGCAACTCCTCAGATCACTCATATCCCACACCCCAACAAGTGTCACACCTATCTTACATGCATTTTACAGTCCATATTTGACGAGACACTAAATAGTCATCTCTTATAGGGAAGCATCACACCGATATTCCTTGTTATTAACTTAGGTCATAAAAAGCTTCACAATATGGCTGAACCGATGTTGTAGGTGAAGACTATTCATGATGTCAAAATATCTAAAACGTATCTGCTTATTCACTGACAGTCGTGACACAGCTGAAACTGTACACACACTCCTACAGCAAAGTTTGTTCTCCAGTTCAGGCTTATGTTTCAAATCAAGCTGCTGGTAACCTCATAGTCCACATCTCTCAATGGACAGGAGGAAACATGCATAAACCTTCGGGAGTCTGTGTAATACCACACAACTGACATTTACAGTCCATATCCCATTTCAATTTCTCATAATGGACATGAAGGACAAAACAAATTAAATGATGTTTTTTACTGCAACTGATTGTTTTTCCTGAAAGTTTAGTTCTGGAAATATACTGACAAAAGAAATTCTGGGAACATAGTAAAACAGCAGTAGCTGGTGTTGTGCTGCGTTCAAGGTAGCGGCATTATTTCAGCACTAAAAGCAACAGGGTAAGATATTAATATCTGGTGCTACATTTGGAAACAATTCCAAGGTTGCAACAAACGCTGAAATATTGCTGATACTGCACTAACATATCCACTCACTCATGGGTTCCTGATGCTCAATCTTCAGCCATCTGTGATCATGCTTTCCTTTCATCTGTGAGTTATGTTAGTTGAAAGATTTGAATATTGATGCAAATAAAATTAAACTGGCAACATATTTGACAACTACACACAATGATTGTCACATTGCTATCTGAGGTGTGACAAGCTTGACCTGAAAGAAAAAATATGTCACTAACCTGCAGTCTTCAATCTGGTCAACAACAACAAGTCTTCTAATGTCGCTGATTTGCCACGATTCTCTTCTTTAGCCGAAACAGGAAAGAATGATTTAGCACGTGTCCTGCGCTTTCTGGATGTAATGCTGGACTCCCGCAGACTGGAATCTGAGGAAACACAACTCAATCATGACCACTCTCTTCAGCCTTACAGGAGAACATAGCTTCAGATGACGTACTCATCTCTCAAAGTAATTACAGATTTTGACAAGGACACGAATTGGTGTCAGTGTGACTGATAGGATACAGCAGTCAATAAAAGCAAAGATACGAACATGTCAATTTCCTGTAAGATCAATACTAAGTTGTTGATATGAAATGCACAAAACATACAGAAAGCTTTGTCACAAAACAATTGCTGGTGAGACCACAGGGGTTTAGTTAGACCAATATTCGATAGATCAATTTATTCTTTGCTGACTGATAACATGGAACAACATTGTACATCCTTCAGAGGCTTCTAAACAAAAGGTCATCATAAAAAGGAGTGAGTGAGTGAGTGAGTGAGTGAGTGAGTGAGTGAGTGAGTGAGTTGGGTTTAAACTGCTTTGAACAGTATTCCAGTCATATCACAGCGTGTCAGCTTATTGTTGGAGCAAACCCTGAAGTAATGCAGGTCTCAGATTGTTTCCACTTTGGTGAAACCCACGAGCACGGGTACAGTGCTGACAAACCTAGAAACAGAAGCAGTGCGAACCAGGATTCGTTTCAAAGGTTTTTGGTCTTCCCAAGGCACATAACTCTGCACAGCAAATTGCCATGGCTTAGATGACAGGGCCACCCACGCCCCTGTTAACGTATATGGAAGTATTTCAGGGAACTGACATGTCTTCTAAGGGGTTTGAAAATAAGATGACATGAATATTTCCGAATGAGATTAGTAAAAAGGTTATGGCGGCTACACAAATATGGAATCACACATGAACACTCTAGCAGCATTTGATGTGATAGATTTGTCATAATGGCAGGACAAATGAAATCACTCTCTCTTGTGCAGCTTTCAACTATATCAAGTTGCAACATTTTGGCACTTCATATCAACCAAATAAACCTATGTTTGTGCACCAGTCTGTCCTGTCTGTTCAAACAGTTATTGATTCTCGTGCCAAATGCAAAGAGAAAGAAATCTAAGATATGTCTTCCTGATGCTTGATTAAAAGTTATTAAAGTAAATAAAGAATCGAGTAAATTTAATATAGATTAAATGGAAAAGCATACACTAGGCATTTGCAATTCTTTACAACTATAGTATGACTTGCAGTGTCAGTAAATCTCGAAATCAATATGCCAGTCATGTTCATGAGTATACACAATGTTGATCAATTTGAATACACAATCAGGCGATAACTCTCCTTTCGAAGTAATATGACTGGGTGCCCTGCGACACGTTTGTGACATGGAGAGACGGAGCGAAGCTAAAACGGTACCCTGTTGCACCTTCATTCAGAAACGGTCATTTACTACTGAACATCTGAAACTAGCACATGTTTTGCGCATGCGCAATTCACGCATAATTTCTAAAAGATGGCACATAACAACATACAGTAAGGGGCCTGCATGTGCAGTAGTTTTCTTACAATGCCACCAAGTTTACATTGACGAACATATCACCATTTAATCTCATCATCACGACCAATAAATTGCCATTTTGTCAGCATCTTTGTTTACACTACAGAGTACTAATACAAACTAGTGTTTTAATTCCTCCAGAAAAGTTTCAATTACATTACATCATGTATTTTCTTGGTGCTGTTCCTAATATGGTGTGAACGAGTGAGTTGGGTTTAACGTCGCTTTTAACAGTATTCCAGTTATATCGCGGCGTGTCAGCTTAATGTGGGAGGAAAGTCCGAAGTGATATAGGTCTCAGACGTTTACCAATTCGGTGAAACCCACGAGCACGGGTTTGGTGCTGACAAACCTAGAAACATAATCGGGGTGAACCGGGATTCGAACCCACAATCATAGGTTTCTGGCGTGCCCAAGGGACGCAACTCTGCACAGCGAATCGCAGCGCCTTAGATGACTGGGCCACCCGTGCCCCCGTATGGAATGTAAGTCAGGTGAAAGCGTATTTTCCTGTGTATAGCACCCACTTCAGTACACATATAATTGCTATTTCGTGTATTGTGCAGTCAGAAATTATATCACATCATCACAACAAACTTGGACAATGAGAATGAGAAAGTTGCAATAAAACATCACTTGATACGATGATTTACCATTTTGATTGCATCTCTAGTTAAGCTAGATATTGTTTTATATGGAGGATTAAGGTCACCATGTCTTGTAAACTAAGTCAGACTTCAATCAGCTGTACACACATGTTCTCCTGATCTACCGGTCATTTAGTTAATACATACCTAATAAATTAACTTAGAAGAATCTTAATACAATGATCGGCAGAAATAGTATCTGAAACTAATATTTAACCAGGATTAATATACTCCAATTTCATGTTATTTCAGATGAGGTTTTTACCATACATACTTAAAGTAATAACAACTAGTGTAGCACTTTGGTATATTGTCATATAGTTTATACGCATGGAACACTTTGATGAGTCACTGTTAAGGATTCCTGCGGTTTTACTATTTTGATCGCAGAAACATTACGTTGACATATAATACTCAAACTACAAGGAATATGGCTTTTAACAACTCATAGCATGACATTTATGATACATGTATCCATTCTATGACAACCATAGTCCATTGCCACTTGAAACAGAATCACAAAATATTGCAATGATTAATTAAAGATAGATGCATGTGTGCTAATACTTACGGTACGTAGTAAACACAAGCCATTTTGGTGACAAGGAATATTAATAACATTAGTTAAAGTTAAACATCATCAATAAGTTTTGATCACATGGTTACTGTCTGGATACAAATTGGCAGTCAGGTGACTGTCAATATTTGTTTGTTGTTGTTTAGCGTCGCATTCAGCAATATTACAGCAACGAATATGATTGCTGTCTGTAAATAATCAAGTATCAAGTCTGGACCAGACCATTTAGTGATTTACATCATGAGCATCGTACTACACAATTGGGATACAATGACATGCATCAAACCAAGTAAGTGAGACTGACCACCTGATCCCGTTAGTCTCCTCTTATGACAAGCATAGTCGCCTGTGATGGCAAGCATAGTCGCCTGTGATGACAAGCATAGTCGCATGTGATGGCAAGCATGGGTTGGTGAAGACCTATTCTAACCTGGATCTTCACGGGTCTGACTGTTGATATTAACTGTCATCATAGAGATTGATCATTAGTAAGTATATACTGTTTTTAATTTATAAGATGAAAATATGTAGTTGGTTAGTCCCCTTGAATTTGTATTTAAGCAATATATAGGCTCTTTTGTGTCTGAAAATATGTTTTTCTTTCGAAAATTCAAAATATATATTATTATGGTAATTCTTCTACCTTTCACTGTTTATAACTTAGATGTAATCATGGTAGAAATTGGCAACATTCAGCCATCTTTCATCCATAAAATATTTTTATTCACCAACCCTTACGAATACCAAAAGAGATATCAGGATTTCTCTGTTATCTTAAACATCATGTATTATGATATGTACCGTATATCGCTGTGTATAAGGTGAGTTTTGCGTACCTGGTATTAGGGTTGATTAGTAGTTGATGACATAATTTGTCAGTGGTGGTTCCATTCACGTATTTTCTCGCCTCTCTCAGTTATAATACTTATCAAATACTTGTGTTTCTGTCAAAATTCACAATTTACCAACAAACTTTACCTATTGCAATAAGACCTTTATTTCAAAATAACTTAACCTCCAAAATTCATTTTTGAATGATTATTTTTTTTTCAACCATCAACCGTAGGGTTTTGAAGATAAATATATTAAAAGGCCAAATTGTCACATGTGGAAAATATGTAAAATTCAAAATCAAAGAAATAACCAATTTTTCACCCCTCTGAGATGACCTAGAAATGTGGCCGTCACTCCCTGTCTCAACATCTGCTTCAACCACAAAATCTATCAGCCAGACTCCAAAATATTTGTCAAGAATTCAAATTCTGTGCAACTTTTCACGGATCAAAGACTTCAACAGATCCCTATCAATATGTAAAACATTTTCTATTACAAACCCTTAACCCTAAAATGGCATCATAAATCAATCCCCTCAAATCCTTCCCACCATTTCAGTTCCTTTCAATTCATGTTAAAGAAGCCTAAGCAGACTGTGGTGTATTGCTTACATTAACCTTTAACTCAAACAGCAACCTGCAAAGAAAAGGCTCTACAAGAGTGTGACTATCAATTATTTTCTTTCAAACGGTTTGAGAAGCCCAAGAATCACCTGCGCAAGTTGTCACGAACACGCAAGAGCATAATGGAGCTGCTTAGCATCTCGAGGCTGTAGCTGTAATTCAATAGTGTACCATGCACAGTGACAGCAGTGAATGCTGCATCAGTTCTGGGTGACCGGCTCTGTACCTTGACACCATTAGGGGGTTGTTAGAGTGAATTTGAAACCAAAAACCATAACCCCCTATTACATTTTTTGCAGTTTTTTGGCGGTTAGTTATTGTTATGAAACATGTTTTTATCCTTTTTTTGTGTGTGCAAAAAATCAGCTTTGAAAAGCGTTTACCTGCTACTCATTGGTTGGTAATTGCTTGGTCATTTGGTAAAAGAAAAAGGTTGTCACTTTGAGGACCATTATGTTTGAGACCGATACTGGTTCCCCCCACCCCCAGTGTATAGTACACACCCATGTGTGCAGGTCCTATACTGGTGCCCCCATCCCCAGTGTATAGTACACACCCATGTGTGCAGGTCCTATACTGGTTCCCCCACCCCCAGTGTACAGTATACACCCATGTGTGCAGGTCCTGTACTGGTGCCCCCACCCCCAGTGTACAGTACACACCCATGTGTGCAGGTCCTTTACTGGTTCCCCCACGCCCAGTGTACAGTACACACCCATGTGTGCAGGTCCTTTACTGGTGCCCCCATCCCCAGTGTACAGTACACACCCATGTGTGCAGGCCCTTTACTGGTTCCCCCACGCCCAGTGTACAGTACACACCCATGTGTGCAGGTCCTATACTGGTTCCCCCACGCCCAGTGTACAGTACACACCCATGTGTGCAGGTCCTATACTGGTTCCCCCCACCCCCAGTGTACAGTACACACCCATGTGTGCAGGTCCTATACTGGTTCCCCCACGCCCAGTGTACAGTACACACCCATGTGTGCAGGTCCTATACTGGTTCCCCCACGCCCAGTGTACAGTACACACCCATGTGTGCAGGTCCTTTACTGGTTCCCCTAATCCCCAGGACACACATGTGTGCAGGTCCTATACTGGTTCCCCCAATCCCCAGGACACACCCATGTGTGCAGGTCCTTTACTGGTTCCCCCAATCCCCAGGACACACCCATGTGTGCAGGTCCTATACTGGTTCCCCCAATCCCCAGGACACACCCATGTGTGCAGGTTCTGTACTCAGGCTCCCCCCACCCCAAGTACACACCCATGTGGACTTAACTGAATACCCCTCATTCATCTGTTTGTAGCGACCAGATGAACACATGCTATCGCTCGCCGGGCACTGGGGAACTACTACTCCAGGATGTTCTGTTAACACCACGTTTCACAAACATTCCAAGACTGGCCGCCAAATTCAAAGCCTTTTATTAAATCTTATGGTTTTTTCAAGGCATCTTCAAATTGGGGCCACACATTCAAAGGACTCCATTGGAGCATGTGATGTATCAATTATTAAATACCTCTGGGCTACACTGCTAGATTAAATATATCTCCATCATCATTCTAAACCACATATAGACCAAAGTAAGAAATAGGCAAATATGATCTTGCATGTTAACCAGTCTTGCACATCTGAGCATCAGTTGCAACTATCTGGGTATAACACTACACTAAGTCAGCCAATCTGAGAGGAGGTGAACTTCCCAAGTTATCTCTGTCCCTTCATACAAATCAATCAAATCTTCACACAAAACACATGACAGCAAGCAACATGTCTGTCATTGTGAGAGGACAAATATACCAATGGCAAGTTACAGTTTGCTTTCAGAATAAACATCACTCCAAAAAACAAACCTTGCTTATCCTTCAAATAATTTACACAAAACCACTTTCTCAAGTTTGCAAATGATAAAATCATGGGCATTATAGTCATTAGGAAACCAGAAAATTTACCCAGATTATTCCAATCCGATCTTCCTGATATCATGTTCAAGAGCCTAGCACGAGGTTTCATGAGATATCAATGAAAGAACTTACCCCTTTTGCTGCTGGTGTCTCTAACACTGCTATAATCTCCTTTGCTCTTGCTTGACAGGTAATGAGTCCCAAGGATGTTTGCCGCAGTTTCACGATTCTCTGCATCATCAACACAACGTTGCGATGTCGGTGTGTCCTCCCACGGCAGATTTGTAGTTAATCCCTCTTGTATAAGATCGGACAAGTTTTCCTCCCTTGATAGCCCTAGAAAGACATGAGCGCAAATCTTCAAATAAGTGAGTTACAACTTGCCTGATCCCTGTCATGTTGCTGTAAGGGATGTTCAAGTCCCCTAATGGTTCCGGATCATGCTTTGGTCCTTTATTGAATCGCAGATTGTAAATTCTTACAAAGGAAAAGGGGTTGCCATTTCAAGGAGATTTATCATGAAAGTTGTTGAAGGAATTTAATTAGTGATAACTGGAAGGCAGTAGGGTTCCGAGAGAAAGTCAGACATCGGACTTGTCTATCTTGGATTTGAAAGGGAATTTCAGTTCGTCTGTTCTCTGACTCATGGGATAAACTTTCAAAGGTCTACTGTGCTTCATGATAAGCTGGGGTGATGAGTTGAAAAGCATACCTATCTTGTACGTTCATCAAAGGAGTCAAAAGATCTTGGCTACAGAGGCAGGTTTTCTACAGATCCAGGCAGACTTCTTTCACAACATGAATTCTCAATGACTATATAAAACCGACTGAAACATCTTAAAAATAATAACACTTCGAACTTTCATATTCATTCTGTGCCCCTGCTCCTGATGAAAAGGACAAAAGATAAACAAGACCCTTTGCTTCTGAGTACATATATATATATATATTCCATTGAATGTTTTGTTAATGATTTGTTTGTTGTTTAACGCCGCACTCAGCAATATATTATCTACATGACAGCTGTCTGCAAATAATCGAGTCTGGACCAGACAATTCAGTGGTTGATATCATGAGCATTGATCTACGCACTTGGGATACGATGACATGCATCAACCACCAAATGTAGTTAGTCTCCTCTTACGACAAGCATAGTTGCTTCTTTCGGCAAGAATGGGTTGCTGAAGACCTGTTCTAACCTGGATCTTCACAGGTAGTTTTGTACATGAGAAAGAGCGAATGAATGTTGTTAACAATGCTGTCAGCAATATTCCAGCCATAACACATTGCCTTGTACAACCAGTGCAAACCAGTGATCAATAATGTGCAGCAATACAAGCCGTCGGGGTGTGATGACACAATCAGTCACTGAGTCAGACCACCCAATCCCATTGTAGTCACCTGGTACTGGGGACCTAATTCTGATAAATAAGAAACACTATCATAAGTCCTCACTACACTGACGATCAATCTTGGGCCTTCATTGAAACCAACCTAGTAACCAGTGTACCACCTGCGGCTCTGAACAGCTGTTCCCTTTTCGATTTCCTTCAGTTTACATCACGGACTGAATAGTTTGTAACTCAAGTTTCTCTGATAGTGGGCTGCTTGACTTGATTTTTAAGTCAATGCATGGTAGAGCACTACATTGGTTTAAAACACGGCAGCAATGGAACAATTTCATGCCTCCTTAGAGAATAGTATGAGCTACAATGTATAACAAATATACTATTCTTGGTGATATTAATGTTTTAACAATATTTAACAAGGATAACTTCAACATTAATAAATGAGGGATTAAGCTGTAACTTTGATTAAAAGAGTTTTTGTATGAGAAAAATGTTCATGAGCTTTTTAAGAAGATATCACACAAACATTAGTTCTGATGTCAAATGGTGAGGACACCATTTTTACAATATTTTTTATTTAATAGTTATGGAAACAGTCTAATAATAGAAACAAGGGTAATCAGAAGACGACAAATCCCCCTGGTCACCTCAATAGCAAAAGGCACCTACTTCAGCCCCTGGTTAATACATGTACCAAGTTTGGATGAATTTTTTTTCACAGTTTTCAAGTCAAGCTCCTGAAACGAAATAAGGATGGACAGACCAGCTGATGACTATATCCCCCTGCATTATATGCCTTAACATATACAATACATACGAGGGGTGTTCATTAAAGATTTCCCCTCAACCACTTAGGGTTATCATATTTGGTTGAAATTTCACATCTTTAATGATACATGTATCCATGGGTTATGTCTGAATTTGCAGCACCGAACTATTAATCTTACCACTTTTACAGGTGTTATGATCGAGTAGATTGTGACAATGGAGCCAGTAGAATACTGAGCAGTGATTAGGTTTTTTATATTTGAAAGGTCGCACACCAAAAGAAACTTTCGATGAAATGAAAGCAACTTATGGGGAAGATGCCCCATCATATGACGTTGTTAAACACTGGCATCGCCAGTTCAAGTGTGGTCGGACATCTGTGGAAACAGCTGCCATTCCTGGTCGCCCCCATTCAGCCATTGATGAGGACACTATCCATCAAGTGGAGACCGCCATTTTGGCAGACCGACGTATAACTGTTCGCCAGTTAGCACATGATGTCAAGATCAGTGTAAGGTCTGTGGAAAAAATCATCCATGACAATTTGAACATGCATAAGGTGTCTGCACGATGGATTCCCAGGTTGCTCACACCTTTCCAAAAGCAGGAACTAGTCAATTGCTCAAAGGATCTTTTGGACATGTGCCAAAAAAAACAGGGAAACTTTTTTGACAGACTTATCACACAGGATGAAACATGGGTCCATCACTATGATCCTGAGACTAAAGTTCAGTCGATGCAATGGAAGCATATGGAGTCACCCCCCCCAAAGAAGGCACGTGTCCAACCCTCTGCAGGCAAGGTCATGCTCACGGTGTTTTGGGACCAGTACGGCGTAGTGATGATGGATTTCTTGGCAAAGGGTACCACAATTACAGGAGCTTATTATGCTTCACTGCTGCGGAAATTGCGGGATGCTATCAAGCTAAAGAGGCGTGGCATGCTGACCAAGGGTGTCCATCTCCTGCAAGACAATGCTCTAGTACACAACTCTCATGTTGCCCAGACAGAATCGCGGTCCTGTGGCTATAAAATCCTTCCACATCCTCCTTACTCTCCTGACCTTGCACCATCTGACTTCCACCTCTTTCCAACCATGAAGTCATTTTTGAAGGGAAAATGTTTCTTTGCATTTGTGATAATCCCTTTACATATATGAATTATAACCCTCTTGCACATATATCAGTTATAACCCCTTTGCATTTGTGATAATCCCTTTACATATATGAATTATAACCCTCTTGCACACATATCAGTTATAACCCCTTTGCATTTGTGATAATCTCTTTACATATATGTATTATAACCCTCTTGCACACATATCAGTTATAACCCCTTTGCACTTGTGATAATCCCTTTACATATATGAATTATAACCCTCTTGCACATATATCAGTTATAGTGAGTGAGTGAGTATGGTTTTACGCCGCTTTTAGCAATATTCCAGCAATATCACGGCGGGGGACACCAGAAATGGGCTTCACACATTGTACCCATGTCGGGAATCGAACCCGGGTCTTCGGCATGACGAGCGAACGCTTCAACCACTAGGCTACCCGACCGCCCCATATATCAGTTATAAGCCCTTTGCATTTGTGATAATCCCTTTACATATATGTATTATAACCCTCTTGTACACATCAGTTATAACCCCTTTGAACCTGTTTTTAACCCTTTACATATATCTCTTGCAACCCCTTTGCATAAATATATGTCATAACCCCTTTGGATATACCGTATATGACCGTAGATAAGCCAAATTTTGAGGACCAGAAAAACAATTCTGTTGAAAAGGGGTTACACTCTCATCAAAAAAAATTTCTGTTGGTAAAAAAAACCTACTTTGTATTGCTTCAGGTCAATGAACAACGCTATAAAAAACTTTGTCACCGAAAAATGTGAAATTTGCGATGAATCATCACTTGACATGATGATTTACCATTTCGATTGTATTTCTTGTTCTGCTAGGCATTTTTTTATAAAGATTACTGTGTGTATTGTCTCGTAATCTAAGCCAGAAATAGCAACCAGCAGTACACACCTATTCTCCCAATCTGCAGGTGATCACGTTAAAACATACCTCATAATATAACGGAAAAGAATTTTGATGCAATGATCGGAAAAAATAGTATCTTAAACTACTATTTTACTATGAATAATATGTTCTGATATCGTGTTCTTTTAATTGCAGGTTTTAAATAATGATAACCATAACCAGGGTCATGTGGCAGCACTTACGTGTATTGTCCGATACTTTTCTGCATGGTACAATTAATGTAAATAGTATTCAATGAAATTTTGATTAAATCAATAAAATAGATTACCGGTACGTAGATTACAAACACTCTTTATTACAGATGGTGTAACGACAGGATTAACTTGTGTAATTCAATACAGATTAGTTGATATTCTATTTCTGATGACAGATCATGACAAGACATAGCTTTAGCTTGGGGGTCCGTGCGGCGTATGTACCACACATAACATTTTGATACAGATTTCAAGGACCAAGTAAATACCTTGGCTTATCTACGACATCAGCTCATCTACGGTCATATACGGTATCTGTTACAACCCCTTGTGATGACATGGAGGTGCATGTCTTTTCTGTGAAATTCAAACCCTTTTCAGGGTCTTTTAAAGGAATTTAAGAACCTTTCAGCAATTGATATGTCAGACTAAAAACAAAACCATGTAGACTTTATCCCCTAAATCTGGGGACGTCATGGTTTGTACAACAAGTTAACTGGTTACTCTTCTTACCGAACCTGTTCCGTGTCCAGTTAACAGTTATCATGATGTCATTACATTCTTAACAGCCACAGTGCAACACTGGGTCATGTTGCTCTATGTTCAACTGGGATTTGATTGTTGGTAACACAGTTTAGGCTGAGATTACATCATTGATAGACTGTTGGAAGTAATAACGATGATAATGTGGGTACTTCTATTGAATTTGCCTCCATGCACTCAGTGCATGCTCAAAGTGCTGTGAAATCAGCATCTGTTTTTAACACTTTATAGTGGATTGTAACAAGAATGTGACAATATTAATACTGATTGTTCCATGAACACAACTGCAAGTGATTGTTAATAAGCTTCAACTATAACAGCAAACACCGATTAGCACATTCTTTACCCCCTTAGGATGTTAATTGAACCACAGGAGGAATTGAGACTCCCTGGATATATGAAAACATTGGATCTAGTTAAATATGT